CATGCCCTTCATGAGGGGTCCATCCAGAACACCTAAGGAGCTTTCAGAATTCAACAGGAAGCAAACAGACAAACCCACGAAAAAAACCACGGGCAAAGATTTGAACAGACTTTTCACCGAGCAAAATGTAAGAGCACAAAGAAGCACGTGGGAAATGGCAGATCCCATTAATTGCTGGAGAAATCTCTAGAGAGCACCACCCACTTAGGAGACCATGTGGAGTGCTGACAAGGACGTGGAGAAAGAGCCCTGGTGGCCTCGCAGAGTGGTACTCTGGCGGTTTTTAAACATCTAAGCACATGCCTCCCCTGTGACCCTGTCATCTGCTTCTAGGCCTCTTCCCAGGAGCAAAGGAAATGTGTCCTTGTGGCAGACCTGATGTGAGTGGAAACGGCAGCAGTGTGGGTCGCGGACACTGGAATCAGCCCTGTGTCCTTCAGTGGAGGACTGGGCAAGTCAACGGTGGTACGCCCCCGCCGTGGCTGAAGGACCTACATCCTGTTGCATGGTGGGGCGGATCTCAGCCAGGACACAGCCTGCTCCAGGTCTTCACCTGCACACCCCCCCCCCCCCCAGGATGGGAACGGGCCAGCACTCGTTGCTCAGGAAGGGGGTAGGGAGGTTGGAGGGACCTCAGGCGTGTCCTCTCCTGATGGTGGTTTCATGGTGGTGACACATGTCAAGACTGATCACACCGACCGCTTTAAACATGTCTGTCAATTATACTTCAAAAGAACTGCTTCAAACATTAAAAGGCAGATGACAGGTTGGAAAGACGTGGAGTCGGCTGTGACAGACAAGGGGTAATGCAGTGAAGCCGCTAATGCACCTGCAAACACAGCCGCCGAACGTCACCACCTGGATTAGTCAGCGGGGGCTGCAGGGACAGCGCCAGGGCCCGCGGCTTCCACAGCAAACAGCCACTCTCCCACATCCTGGAGGCCAGCCCCTCCCACCTCCCTCCTGGCTGTGTCCTCCCAAGGTCACACGAAGGGTCGCCTCCTCTTCCCCCCCAGCCAGGTGCCTTCCAGGATCTCCATGCAGCCCCTAACCTCTTCTTCTCAATGACCCCAGTCATCCTGGATTGGGGCCTCCCTACCCAGCATCCTGGGGCACACAGGTGGACCTCAGACTCAGTCACCTCTACAAAGACCCCGTCTCCAAACACGTTCACATTCTGAGGAGCGAGAGGTCAGGGCTGGCAACAAATGAGTTGTCGGGGAGGGTACAGTCCAGCCTTTAGGAAAATAAGCCACAGACACGGACGACTCAGGTTCGGAAGAGCAAACCACCAGTGGGTCCACAGCAGAGCCCAAAGGCTCCCAAGCCAAACAAGGGAAGAGGAACATAGGGAGCACGGAGAGTGCCAGCAGCCATGATCAGCCCCCTGGGCACCCTCGCCCTCCAGGGCCAGGAGACCTGGGGAGAAGCCCGAGGCTGTCTAGCAGGGGCCGAAGCCTGGGGACAGGGCCCCTGGACCCGCAGTACTAGATGCGCCCTGGCCCTCTGGCACCCTGTGGCCCCCACAAACAGCCCCACAACCTGGGCTTCCTCAGACCCCCAAAGCCACCGCACAGGAGCCGGGACAGGACCCAAGGAGGTGCAACTGCAGCCCTCCCCTGGGCTGTCCTGTGACACCAGATATCTGACATCTCCCCAGTGCCTTCCAAACAGAAGAGCCCTTACCCATGTGGGAGGCTGTGCCAGGGTAGGGCAGGGTGGGTCAGGGGCAGGGTTAGCTACTCCTCACCACACGACCGGCAGCCAGCAGAGCTGCCTGCCTGGCACCAGGCTGGTCTGTGGAGCATGCTGCTCCCGGGGACTCAGGGCTCAATGATGCCTCCTCTCCAGGACCCCCTTCTCACCCCATCTCCCCACTCCTGCCCTTTAGGGAAACTTTCTTTCTCAAATTCCAAAGGAAGAGGTGGGAGAGGAGAGTGTCCTTCCCACACACAGACTTGGGCAGCTACAGACCCCAGCACTTGAAGTGTCCTCTCCCGGGGACAGCTCTGGCAGCTCCTGCCTCCTGCCCCCCTCCCAGATAGTTTTCCTTCTCCTCCTAGCCAGGGTCTCTGGCGCTTCCATACATTCCACTGGTTTGTTTGGTTTGGGGAACGTGTGCTCACAGATACAGGATTCATTGGTTTGGTTCTTTTTTTTTTTTTTTTTTTGTACTGGGGATTGAACCTGGGAGTGCTCTGCCACTGAGCTACACCCCTAGCCCTTTTAATTTTATTTTGAGTCAGGATCTCACTAAGTTGTCCAGGCTGGCCTTGAACTCGTGATCCTCCTGCCTCAGCCTGCCCCAGAGCCAACCATAAATCCCCCAAATATTTCTCTAACCTCCCCCATCTTTCTTTGTAGAAGCCAGTCCTAAAGAATTCCTCTGACTGGCCATATAGGTCCAGAGACCCTCATTCTAGGAAAGGTCCTGCCCTGTACCCTGGAGAAAGACTCGCCTGCCTCGCAGAGACCAAGAAGAATCTGAGCAGACAGGCCTGGCTGGGCTCCCCCTGAGCATGGTACCCCCCACCAGTATGTACCCTGCTACATGGCCACTGGACCCACTCACCCCACACAGGGCCTGGACACCTGCTCCTCCAGTGGAAATCCCCTCCCCAGGAAAACTGCCCCCTAGTTCCCCTCCTTATTCTAGATAAAATGATCATTTACATCATTGAACAGGACAAGGGGGCTCCAGACCCTCCCAGGGGCTGTTTCCTTCCAGCACAGCCCTCCTATCCACCACCTCCAGCCTCCCCACTTGCCCTGGGCTCTCCTCAGGTCCCCATTCCCATCTAGAGGCCTGGTCTCCCTATATTGGCACCATCAGGGACCCTTTTCCCCTTCTGGGGGACTCTAGACCCTGCGGTTTGCTGGACAGCCCCATCTCCCAAGGACACCTAAAGGCTATGGGTGCACATAGGAGGAAGCCAGCCTGCTGGGGAGGCTGTAGTCAAGGGATTGAAGAGTGGCAGAGAGCAGCCTGCCGACATGAAACTCAGGAAAGGAAGAGAGAGTGGGGCCTGGGGACAGGCAGGAGCCTGCAGTCCCCTCCTCCCCCATAGGAGGTTCCTGGTTGCAGCACAAGTCAGGGAAAGGAGTGGGGGGCAGGGGTCCCCTGAGCGAAGGCCTGCCTGCCAGAGGCTGGAAGAGGCCCAGCCTGGAAGGGGGATGGTCTGACCGAAAAGGCCTGGAGAGGCCAGGGGGCCTCTTGGAGGAGGCCTGGCTGGGGAGCCAGCCCTGGGGAGTGTGCAGGGCTGCTGGTGAGCCGGCCTGGCCAGGAGCTGGAGGAGGAGGGGGAGGGTCCTGAGAATCCTGAGCGGGCAGCAGTAGCCCCTGGCCAGGTGGAGCGAGAGGGGCACCAGCTCACATGATCACATGTGCCCCCCCAGGCTGTGACTTAAGTTGCTGGGAGGGGAGAGAGTAAAGGGCACTGGGGTGTGGGGCTGCGGCATCCTGCTGGGGTTGGGGTGTGGGGGCAGGGGCAGTTCACAGGGAAAGAGGGGTGGGAAGAAGTGTCCAGAGGTGTCCTCTGCTGTGGAAGGCGCGCGGGGGTGGGGCGCGGGGTGGGGGGGGGATTTGAAGCCCAGATGTCCAGGGTGGGCCTCATGGGGCGAGTGCGAGTGCGAGTACCAGTGCGGGTGTGGGGAAGAGGTGGGCGGAAGGGATATGGGCGGTGGGGGGATACACCGTGCAGGGCCTCCCAGGAATGCGGGGCTGGCGGTGTGCGGGAGATGTTGCCCAGCGCAGCAGGCGGGGCCGGCAGGGCAGGATGCGGTGTACTGTGCGGGGCAGTGCAGCGCCTGAAGATGCTTGGCTCAGGGCGCTGGGGAGTGTGGGGCCCTGCAGAGTGGAAGCAAGGGCTGGGGGTGGGGCAGGGCGCCTGCTCTGCAACGTGAGCCGAGGCGGAGCAGGGAACGATGGGGGGCTGGCGCGGGCCTGTGCGGTGCGGGGCGGGGTCGTGGAGGAGCAGGGTGGTGCTTGATGCGGGCAGGGCGGGGCGGGGCGTGGTGCGGGATGCTATGCGGGGCGGTGCGGGGGGCCGTGCGGGGCGGCGCGACCTCCGGAAGCGAGGGGGCGCTGTGCCAGCACGGGCGGCATGCGGGGCGGACGCCGCTCCTTCCTGCCGCCCTAGGCGCGTTCGCCATGGCGCGGAACGTGCTGTGAGTAGGGTCGCCGCAGAGCCCGCGCGGCCACGCAACTGGGACATCGGGCCAGGGGCCCGGGGCGGGGCGGGGGGCTGCCGGCGGCGGTGCGCAGGCGCGTGTGGTGGTCCCGCATAGCGCGGGGCGCAGGTGCTCGCCGCCGGGGAGCCCGGGCGGGGCGGTCCCAGCGAGGTCCCCGTAGGGTCCCCGCAGGTGCCTGGCCCGTGTTGCTGGCCGCGGCCTGCCCGAGTGTAAGCAGAACACACGCATGTTCTCGGTGAATACAGTGGCTTTGGGGACCCCCGAACGCACAGCTGGGCAGAGGGCTGCAAGTGGGACCTCGAGGACTCTCCCCAATAGCTTCCTTTTGCAGACGTTGGGACAGGGCCTGACCAGGACCCAGGGGCCCCTGCCCTCTGAATCCCGGCCACCGGCTCAGGGCGGGAGGAGAGGCAGGGCAAGGCCGGGTCAGCTCACGTGTTTACCCGAGGGCCCGGAGGGAGCTGAAGGGGCGTCCTATGGATGGGATGTGGTGGGGTCGGGGCTAGGGACAGGGTGGGATACAGATGAGTCACCCGCCGGGCCACTGGGAGGCAGGGCTGGTGGCGGGGAGCCAGGTCCTGGGTTTGGAGGAGGGTGGAGTGGAGTTCCACTTGAGATGTGTTAAGTTTGAGGTGTTTGTAAAATATCTCGGGGAGTCGTGGGTTCAGGCCCTCTGGACCTCCCTGTCCCAGGGGTCTGCATGCAGGCAGAGAGGCTGGGGGAGCTGTGCCCCATCCCTGGACCCCGGAGAAGGGTGTGGGCACTGTGGTTGTTCCAGAGCCAGAGGTCCCAGGCCACCAACAAGCCCTAGGATCGGGCCTGAGAATGTGGACCTGTGAATGGTCCATACTAAGCCAGGGTGGCCTCGGGGGCCTGGGCCCTCTTTATCAGGTAGCCTCTGCCCTTCCAGACCCTCAGCACGTTACCACCCGTGAACCTCAACTCCCAAGGCTTGGAGAATGGAGATCTGTGACCACCCCCTTTTTCATCATTAAAGAGTGGGTCCCCAGGTTTGTGTGCCCACATGCAGTGCCATAGCTGGGCACCAGAGGGAATACGTGTGCCCTTTGGCAGCCACAGTTGTCCTGGGCCTGTGAACGAAAGGCCCCGTCTGCTTCAGAGCCGTCTTTGGGGGCCTTCCCAGGTTGCCCACTTTGCCACCTGAACTCTCAGGCCCAGAGAAGCTTAGACCCTGCCCAGGAGGGTTTTGGCAGCATCCTCTTCCATTTGGAGCTGCTGGCCTGGCCTTGACATGTCCGCTTGGTCAGCAAGTAGGCACACATTTTGCCTGGGTGCCTGTTTCTGCGAATCCCTGGCAACAGACTGCCAGTGCTGTCTGACTCCCAGGTGCTGCTCAGCCCTGAGGCCCAGTCCTCCTGTCCAGCCCCAGCTCCTGCCTGGCTCCTTGGTGCTCCCAAGACCTGGGGGCTGAAGACCGGTGTGCGTGAGCCCTGGAGCTTGGTCATTGTTGGCCTTGTGGAGTCCCCTCTGCCCTGGTACTGAATGTTCCCCAGGGCAGGGCCCAAGTGCAGTGCTGCAGATTGTTCACATGGCTTTGGGCGAGACCCCAGGTGGTCCCCCCCACGTCCCCTCAGACTCTGTAGACCTCGAGCTCCTGCGTCCTGGAGCTAAGACAGCTACTCCCCACCCCTGAGACCCAGGGGCCAGGTAGGTGGAGCTCTGTGTCCACCCTGCCAGGCCAGGGGATGTGCAGGACCACTGGGGGTTCTGCTTGATTGGCTCCCAGAGCATGGCCTAATGGTGGCAGGAGGTGTCAGCTATGCATGCCCCTCAGCTGCTTCTGTCCCCTTTGGGGTAGGCCCAGCTTGTTTAGAGGTATGAGTTTATCGAGGCACCGTGCTCACAGCCAAGCCTTAGCCTTCCTGTTCCACCAGGCCAGGGTCCTCCTGCGTGGGAACGGGGGCAGCCCACTTCTGCTGCTCCACCCCATGGCAGCAGGGTTGGCTGGCCCCAGTTAGGCTGTCCTGCAGAGGCTGCTGACTCCTAGGTGGAGCCCACCTCCAGTCTGTTTGTGGGTGTCCCACTGCCTCTCTTCCTTCTTTTCCTTTTTCAGTGGTGCCGGGGTTGAACTCAGGGCCTCGGGCATACTGGGAAACCTAGACCACTGAGCCATACCCCAGTCCTCGTGACTGGCTCCTGTCCTTCCTGCAGGTATCCCCTGTACCAGCTGGGCGGCCCCCAACTCCGTGTGTTCCGAACCAACTTCTTCATTCAGCTGGTGCGGCCTGGCACTGTGCAGCCCGAGGATACTGTGCAATTCCGGATCCCCATGGAGTAAGCCCCAAAGGAATTTGTTCTGGGGAGCATCTTGAGGGCCATCCTGTCTCTGCTCACAGGGCAGGATCTCCTGCCTTGGAAGGACGCATGCAGAGCCCCAGGGAGTGGGGAGGGAGCTTGCTGCTGGCAGCTTCCTGGCTCACCCTCCACCTGGGGAAGGCTTAGCTGAGAGCCTGCAATCCCGACTCATTTTCTCGCTCTCTTCTTTTGTTGAATTCTTGCCCCAGTCTTCTCAGGAAAGGCATCCCAGGAGGCTGGGCTGAGAGCCTGCTGCGGTTCACAGAGCTGCTCAGCCAGGTCTCCAGAATGTCAGTCCTGAGTCCCTGCCTGGCTTGGCTAGCCAGGTTCGCTGTGCCAGTCACCTTTAGGATGATGCAGTTACCCCAGCCAGAACCGAGGTGTTGCTGTGGAGCATCAGGGTTCCCGGGTGTCCTCTGGGGGGTGGACAGGAGTCTGTCTGGAAGCTGAGGGTTCATGCTACCAACCCTCAGGCAAGGCCTGAAGAGGCCTCAAAGCTGAATTTGGGGTAACCTTTAAGATTTTTCTAAAAAAAAGGTGAATGTGCCCGCTGAGGCCTGCCTGGGAAGCCTGTCTGCAGACAGGGCTGTCAGACCTGGGGCAGGTTGGGCTCCCAGCGGCACTTAGACATTGGCACTTCCTCTCTGGGAGCTCAGCCGGGCTGGGGGGAAGGGATCCAGTGAACCAGGCTGATAGAGCAAAGCTCCCAGTGCCTGAGGCCCCATCCCTCTGTCACCCTAGTCCTCCGTGTCCAGAGAGAGGACAGGGCCCGGGCTAGCATCAGCACTACGGGTGTTTCTGGGTTCTTTGGGCCCTGCCTGCTTCAGACCAGTGAAACCCAGGAGTCCTCAGCCCGGGACCCCTCACCCTCTGGTAGGTTTTGCCTTTTAGTCCCGTCTACCCTCTTTTCCTTTGTCCCTCACCCAGGATGACCAGGGTGGACCTCAGGAATTATCTTGAGCGCATCTACAATGTCCCGGTGGCTGCTGTACGGACCCGGGTGCAGCATGGTAAGTGGCAGGGCTGCTGCTCTCCTGTCTGCATGGACTCTTCCAGGTGTTGGCCTAGGACCTTGGGTTCCCTTGGCACCCGAGGAGATGAGGCACAGAGGGTTTGGGGTGACTTGCCAGGGCCGCATGGCGCTCAGGTGGCAGCCTGCTGCTGCAGCCCACCGTGCCACAGCTGCTTGGGGAGGACCCTGCTGTGCCCACAGAGCCCCGTTCCCTAGTCCCCTCCTGGTCCTCTCACCCCTCCCGCACACTGGACCGCAGAGCTCTGAGCCCCGCCGGGTGGAAGGGAAGAGCCTCTTGGTTCCTGTGCTCTGTAAGTTGGAGTCTCTGAGTTTCTGCAGAGGCAGATTGTGTTCTCATGAGGACGATTGTTATTTTCATTTTCAAAGGGTTATTTTCTCTTAAACTGCCTAATTTTAGTGGCACTGGCCCGTGGGTCTGAGCGCTTTCGGTGCTGCCCTGCTGGCTGGGTGTGGGCCTCTCTCTGGAAGGGGCTTCCTGAGCCTGTGGGCTGGGATCTGTGCTGGGAGCAGGGCGTCAAGTCGACTCCCTCCCACAGGTTCCAACAGGAAGAGGGACCACAGAAACGTGAGGATCAAGAAGCCGGACTACAAGGTGGCCTACGTGCAGCTGGTGAGCGCGGCCCTGGCCTCCGCTTGGCCATTGGGCACCCAGGCCCCTGAGGAAGGGCAGGTCTTTGTGAGGCGGGGTGAGAGCCGTGGGACTTCCAGGGCCTCAGCACAACTGGCCATGGCTGGGGAGAGGGGCCTCCTGAGACTGCCGTTCCATTCCAAACGCAGACTCCCCTCCCCCGACTCTGGCTCCAACAGAAACCAGAATGTCTGAGTATCTAAAGCTGCTGGCCCCTTGAGGGCCTGTCCTTGGCCAGGTTCCAGGCTGGAGTGTCCCCGGGGGCGCATGCCCTGTCAAGGGGCCTGGGTATCAGAGCCATGACGGGTGGTGTCGGGTCTAGGGTCATGTGCGGTTGAGCCCAGCACATTCCACCAGGCCTTTGGTCCCCCCAGCCCTAAACAGCCTCTGAGCACCGGGTACCAGAGCCTAAGCTAAGGCTGCTTCTCCCTGCACCCTGGCCTGGGAGACCACGCCAACGGTTTCTCTGCGCCCCTCTGGAGTATGCTCTGGCCCAGATGTGCAGCAGCCCGGGCGGCCTGTCTTCAGGCAGAATGCCCTCTGACCTTGTGGTGGCTTCAGACCGCGTGGCCTCTGTGGGAATCTCACAGGGCTGGCTCCGCCCTGCAAGGTCTATTAACTGTCCCCCACTGCTTGGAACCCACGGGGGGTTGGGGGCTTCCTCCAGTTTCTGTGTAAACAACCCACCAGGGAGCCCTGTGGCCCGGCCGCTAGATGGCAGTAGCGCTATTGTGAGATCCTGGCCCAGCCTCACGGAGTCCCAGGGCAGTGTGTGCAGAGGCCCGGCCAGCAGAGCTGTCTCCACACACAGTGGTGCTTGTTCTGAACGGGGCCCGAGTTGTTGTCCTGATGGTTTCTGTGCTTAGCACCAGCCTGTCCACATGGGCAGAGCGACCACCGCCTGGCGAGGGCCCGTGTGTTGCTGCCTCAGATGACCCTCTCTTTTGTCATGGCCTGTGGGCAACGTCCCCTGTGTCGGCATTTGCCACACGTTACTTTAGAGACAGCTACGGTTACAAGTGGCCTTTGAGTCATCCGAGCCCCTGCATTTCCCCCAGCCCCACCTCACTCATGAAAGCTGAACTCGTGAGCGAGTTAGATCCGGCTTCTGCAGCTGCCGCCGGCATGGCTTTCTCTCTCTGAAATCCAGGTGGCCAGAGACAGGCCAGGCAGCTAGGGGCCCCGCATGTCCCTGTCAGCATGGCGCTTCCTGTCCCAGGGTTAAAATTTGGCATGCCCCCCCCACCCCCAAACTCAACAGGTCTTTGCACAGCATAGCTGGGCTATGGCAGTTGGTCCCTGTCCGCCCCCAAAGGGACTGCATCCGCTGGGGGTGTCCCCTGGGTCCTCATGGGCGGGGGCCTTCTAACAACAGCTCATTGTGAGGCACTGAAGGGTCAACAGGAGGGAGAGAGTCATCAAATTGATGGTCGTTGGCAGTGGTGGGAGGCGCGGTCCCCGAGCTGGGCGTCCCCCGGTCTCTCCCCTGACAACCTGACAAACCTCTCTTTGGCCCCAGGTCTGGGAGGGAGCTGCAGCAAGCCCCGAGTTACCCACATAACAAAAAGAGCATTGAGGGTGTTTACACAGAGCGGCGTTTGAGTGAGTGGTGCTCATGGGCCGTGAGCTCCGGCAGGAGAAACGCTGCAGGCGAGGGGCAGGCACGTTCCGGCCGACACAGCGGCCCCGGGGCCGGGATTACGGAGCCAGGCTGCTCCCCTGCTCCCCTGACCTTTCTCCTTTCCTGTTCTTCTCCCCCAGAGGCGCCCAGCTCCTTCCTCGAGGCGGGGGCCATTCTGCGGGAAGCCAGCTGTCACCCACAGGTGCCCTCCACCTCCCCTGAGGAGTGGAGTGTCCCCTCACTGGCTGCCCCTGCACTTGCCCACGCCATGTGCCCCCCTTTGGTCCCTACTTTGTGTCCACCCCAGGACCAGCAGAATCACCCCGGGCATTAAACCCCAGTCCCACCTGGGCTCAGCCTCTGTGGATTGTTACCCTTTGGTACGTTTAAAGAGGGAGAAAGAAGTCGCAAATGTGCAAGACGGGGCCCACCGGCCGGCGGCCATGCCACCAGAACCTGCAGGGCCTCCCGTTCTCAGGGGACCCGTGGCTGCTTCAGGTCATGCTTGGCTGCCTGCCCAAGTCCAGATTCCCTGACAGCCAAGAGCACCCCTCTGCCTGTCTGGTCGAGTGTGGCCCCTCGGTGGTCTTCCAAGCTGTTGGTCTGTGCGGAGGAGCCGCGGCCCCCTCCCTCCGGCTCTCGAGCTGCCTGCTGATAGCGTGAAGGCAGCCCCAGCGCCTGCTTAGGCCCCCGCCCAGCACCGTCCCCTCCTCACCAGCCCACACTGGTGCCTGGCCCCGTCCTTGGGGCCTGGGTTGGGACGTGGCCATGCTGACACAGAATGAACTTCTAGTGAACGACGCAAAGCCAGTTAATTAGCAAAGCCGGTCTGATTTATGGACTGCTGCATGTGTAGGTTTCTGTGTATGTTATGTGTGTTTTATTTGCCAAGCTCAGCCTGGAGGAGGGGCGGCCTCTAGGTATTTTGGATGGAAAATGTTTTAGCATGGCACCAGGCGCCATTTGTGTCCTGTTTTTCTGCGCCTAGTTCCTGCCCCCCAGTTCGACCTGGCTGCTGCCGGTGAGTGGGCCTTTACTGGGCTATGTTTAATGAGCCCCGGGCTGGTGCAGCCACGGTTGCAGAGATAGTGTGGATGAAAGGGGCCTTGTTGCAGGGAGAGGCCCGCTCCTGGTGGGAAGCGAGGCCCCGGCAGTCTGGAGATGTGGGTTTGCAGGCAGGGACCCTGCCCACAGACGTTGCTGGCCTTGGGCCTGGGCCCCGAGGCACCCCCCTGCAGGGTCACTCTGAGGCCCCCGAGGCACCCCACTGCAGGGTGATTCTGAGGCCTCCGAGCCGTCCGCTGTAGGGGGACAGGAAGGCTCTGCTTCGGTGCTGAGCTGGAGCTCTGTTCTCCCCCAGGCCCACGGGCAGACATTCACCTTCCCCGATCTGTTTCCTGAGAGAGAGCAGAGCCCTGCAGGAGGCCCTGTGGAGGAAGGGCCCAGCGGGTTTCCAGAGGCCCAGAAGCCGAGCAGCCACCCCCGGCAAGGCGGTATCCCCAACTGGTTCAGCCTGTGAGCGAGCAGCGGTCAGGGACGACGGCCCAGACCCCAGTGGCTGGAGAAGTTCTGACAGCCCAAATAAAATTCCTGCTGTGAGGACAAAGAACTGGAAGCCTTGTTTCCTTCTGTTCTGGCGTCTGAATTTCAGCCGTGCATGCCCACAGCGGGCAGCCTGGCTCCGAAAACTCACAGGCCCAGGGAGCCACTGGCTGTGCTGCATGTGGCCTGGCAGTGGGGGAGGCTTGCAAACCGGAGGCCAGGCTCCCACAGCGGGAGGCAGGCAGGCAGGCAGGCAGGCAGGCGAGCGAGACTGCGCCAGGAGTCCGGGCTGGGAGACGGGAGGAAGGGGTCTAGCCTGCGCCTTGATTGAGCTCAGGCTGTCGGGAGGCAGAGGTGGGTGCTGGTGGAGGGTGTGTGCCACAGGAAGAGCCCCAGCCCCACCCTCATTGAGACAGCACAGGACCCCTGTCCAGGCTGGGTTTGGGCTTGGCTCAGTGGGCAGGATGGACCAGGGAGTGTGGATTGGGGCAGAAGGATGCTGGTGCAGAGAGGAGTTTTGTGAGGGCCCCAGGGCAGGTGGGCGGGGGTCGTGGCTCACTAGTGGTGGGGACAGGTCAGGGAAGAAGAGGGTGCGGTGGGCACCCGGGTGTCCTGCCATGGCTCGGGGCATGCTGTGTTTCCTGGTTGCTTCTGCAGCTGAGCGTCCAGGCCTTCCAGCCGCACAGCACCCTTTGCTGGGGCTGAGCTGGGCAGACCACGACAGCCTCCAAGACCCTGACTTGCATGAGGAATTTTGAGTTCTGGTGTTGGTAGCATCTTACATTGCACCTTCCCGGGTCCCCCAGGGCTCGCATCCCCTTGCAGACCTCAACCTAATGGCTATGGGTCTTTTTCCAGAAAGGGCCCAGGGTCCGGACAGACCCCGGGCTGCCTGAGCCTGGGTCTCCTGATGCCCTCTCCCAACCAGGATATCTCAGAGCAGGGCCTGAGAGCATGTCTGTCGCCTTAGCTCTTTGTTGACTTCAGTTCTTCACAGAGGCTCTGCGGACTGTCTCCTGCTTGTGGACTCTGGGATTTGGAGAGTTAGATGAGGGGCCACACCAGGGTGTGGTTTTGGGGGAATGGTCACCGTCCCCGCCCTGGCCATGCCATGTGTGGGTGGGAAGACTCCATATGCACCACATGCCCCGCACACACCTGAGCTGTTGAAATCTCCACCCTGTAGCTCCGAGAGCCTGGGGGTGCGGCTGGCCTCTGTCAGAGGAGAAGTAGGGACTGGGACAGGGGAGCACATGCAGCACCCTCAAGCCCAGGCGCTCCCAGTAAGCAGAGTTGCCTGCTCCCTCAGGGGGCATCTTGTCCATTTCTGTGTGGACACAGGCTGAGGCCCAGCCCTGCCTCTGGACAGGAGCCTCCTGAGGCACTTGGTGGCTGTGATGATGTATTTGGGGCTAGCAGGGCTGCGGGGAGCAGAGGCGGTGCCCGGAATCTGCCTGGTGGAGAAGGCCTGGGTCCCGAGGGAGTCCTAGCACCTGCCACTTGGCTTACGTGAGCAGGTAGTGTGGTGCTCCAGGTGGACGTACCTGCACCTGTGTCTAGGTCATGGGTGGGCACTGGAGATGGGAGGTGGACAATGGCAGGGATGGGTGCCAGCCAGGCCACCAGGACAGGGGTTGTGTATGATGAGTCTCAACAGGGAGAGCCGAGGCCCCAGGGAGCAGGTGTGGAGTAGGAGCTGGGGCATCGGGGGGGCCCAGGGAGGAGGGATGGGAAGGATGGGGATACCCTGGCATGCTGACACACAGGCTCCCCATGGATGGCTACAAGCCACAGCTGCTGGCAAAGCCAAGTCACCTGGGACTCCAGGAGCTCCCACCAGCGCTGTGTGTCTGAGTGTATCTGATGCTAGGAGGGCGGGTAGCTGAAGATTTGGGAGCAGGCAGGGAAGCCTTCAGAGCCCCTGCACTCCAGAGAACCTAGCCGCAGGGCTGCATGTCCACGTGGTGTCCCCCCCCCCCTCGGGGCCTCCGCCTGCCCTCTTGAGTTCTGGACCCCATTGTGTAGCGCCACCCTGATGGTCTGAGCAGAGTCCAACTCTCCTCTTGCTGGAAGGCTTGGAGATGGAGACGGGGAGTCAGCCCCCGCACTCCCCCCAGCCGCAGGCGGGAGGGCACCCTGGCTGGAGGCGAAGGCCCTGCAGACTGCACCTTCAGTGTTGATTTAGGGGAGGGGAGGTCAGGAAGTGGGGCAGGAGGAACGCAGTCAACTGTATTTTCCTTAGAGAAATAATTCATGGGGCCCTGGCGTGCTGAGGACCCTCACTCAGGCAGGGGAGGAGGGATCCCATCCTTCATGGTGACTCCGCACACAGACTGTTAACGGCTCCTCAGGGGCTCCAGGCAGCGGCCAAGGTTGCCCTTCATCAGGCCTGCCATGCCCCCACGCCTAGCTCCTCTTCTAGCCTTGTCCCAGCCCCCAGAATTCCCCCACAGCCCAGCTAGGGGCAGAGGCGGGGCCTTGAGCAGCTGAGACCTGTCCCCCAGCACCTGAGCAGCTTCCTGGGCCAGCCATGGTGTCGCAGTGATGCAGTGGACACTTCTGGCCTGGACGTCGTCTCCTGCAGTGAGACAGCTTGAGCTGATGTGTTGGGGGAGACTTGGCCAAGGGGACATGCTCATGGCCAATGGAGAGATGGACATGGGTCAGGAACACTCATCCCCCAGCCCTTGTTGGGAGCCCCCCTTTGCCTCTCTACCCTCCTGACCCCAGGAAAGAGACTGGCTGAGGGCAGAGCCTGGAGGGAAGGCCCTCTGTACCCCTCCAAGCACACAGCTTGGGCCCTGAATGAGGTGCCCATGGTGGGAGAGACCAAGGCTGACCCCTGGGGAGCCAGCTGGGCGTTGCCTTGGAGACATGGTGAGGGCTAGCCTCCAGCTTGCGACCTCCAGCTCGCACCCAGGGAGCAGGTTCACACGGGATCCCATTTGGGGTCTCCTACTTAACAGACAGACAATGCCTGACCCTCGCCAGGTTTTCCCGGGCACCAGCCCTGCCTACTCAAGGGGTTTTCTAATCTCCCAAGACCCCCTCTGGTTCCCAGAGGCCTCATGCTACTCTTGCTCCTCTGACACAGGAGGCTCGGTGCCCCAGGAGCCCCTCATGCCCTGGATGGAGCAGAGCTGGCCGGCTGCTCAGTACCAGGCAGATGAGGTGGGGGTGTACCAGTGTGTGGGGGGGTGCTCTACGCTCAGGAAGTGGGCCCCGCTGGGCACCCTACCCCAGGTACCCGGCCCCGCTGCTGTGAGGCCTGGAGAGAGAAGACCAGCACATAGTGGGCCCTGCCTCTGCCCTACACAGGCGTTCCTTCTGCATGGGGACGTGGTGGTCATCCTCTGGTTCCAGCTCTGCCCCGCCAGTGACTCCAGTGACCCGTGTCCCTAGTGCGGTTCTCTCCCATGTGTGGGCCTCTCCCCTGCACATTACTGCAGTCCCTGCACGCTTGGGTGGGACCCTGTCCCACCAAATGCCTCTGTCCCTGCAGAGGGACTTGACTGAGATAAAGCTCCTGGGGCTGACGGGAACCATGGCCCCATTGCCTGGGTGTCCCAAGCAAGGCAAGAGAGGGAGGGAGACCCAGACGGGTGGGGTCTCTGCCTGGGCCAGCTTTCCAACACCCTCCCTCCTAGGGACATCTGCTGCTGGGAGCAAGGACAGGGGCTTCCTGAGTGAGGTATGCCCCCCTGGGTTTTCCCACGTGGCATCTAGTTCCACTGCAGGAGGGATGGGAGACCCTCACGGTCTCTGCAGCACAGGAAGGACTGGGCTGGGGCTGGTCCAGGCTCTTCTGGGCCCACCCCTTCACCTGTGTGCCTGTGTTACGGCCACAGCAGGCCTACATCAGCGGCCTCTGGGAGCTAGCACAGGGAGAGGGAGCGCTGGAGGCCTTGGCCCCTGCTGCAGAGAGCGAGCCCACGCAGCTCCAGCGGCCTGGGGCGCAGGTCACCCAGAGGCCGTCGCCCATGTGGGGTCCTGGAGGTCTTCTGGCCTCCATGCCCTCCACGGCGGCCCTCTTCCACAGTCCCCTGCATCCAGGGAAACAGTACTTCCTCTGTCATCCACCAGGTCTTAATGCAGAGGGGAAGCTGAGGAAACCAGGCCGCCTGGAAGGAAGCCCTGAGCAGCCATCATCTGGGGTCCTGTCAGGAAGTCGGCTCTGCAGACAGGAAGGCAGCTGCCACCCAGCTACAGCCAGGCCACAGCTGGGGTCTGGGCACGTTGAGAGGCCCAGGTGCTGTGGGCATCCCCAGCCCCCGCGGTTTCCTCCTGCACAGGAGGCTGCTTCCTGTCATCTGGTGACACAATTGTCCCCTACCTGACTTCACCTGGGGCAGAGAGAGCTGGCCTTGCAACATTCATTTCTGTTCTTTCAAAGCCTTTATTGAAAGGTGGCTCACATACCACACGCTCCACCCACCTGAGTGGGTGCCGCGGGGGCCGCACACCTGCGACTGGCAGGCACTTTCGTTAACCCGGAAACAACCCTGCATAGCTCAGCTGTGGCCCCCGCTCTCCTCCCCGGCCCCCGGAACCTCCTGGATGGGGGTTTCTATCCTGATGGACCAGGCTTCATTCTTCAGTCATCCACCATGGCCTGTGGCTACTCCCACCCTGCGGCCCTTGCGAGACACTGTCGCTGTGCACATCTTTGCATGGACCTGAGTTTCCATCACCTAGCAATGGACATGCCTGGCCCAAGGCTGTTGGCCTCCCTGTGTGCAGGATTCCTCCCTGCCACCCACTGCCATCTCCGTGCCTCTGGCCAATACCCTAGAGGCTGCCCATAGCCCTTACCACCCTCCCCAAGCACCTCTCCCAGCTCTGGCCCATGCAGCCACTGAGTGGTTGGTCCCTCTCCTTCCTTCTCCACTGTCTCTCAGTCCCTGTTGGACAAGCATGGTTGTCTTTCAGTGTGTCCCGACCTCAGGGTTCGCTGCAGTACATGTTTTCCTTGGTCATCGGGCACAGGGGGCGCCCACACTGAATGCGTGGCCTTCTTCCTCCCCACCGGGCACGCCACAGCCTCCTGGGAGAGCAGAGGAAGGTGGT